CTCCAGGGTCGGAAGTCTATGTCTGGCACCTTGGGAAGTGGTGGAAAATTTTGGATCTGCCTGTATTCTCTGGTGACTGGTTGCTGCTTCAATGTCAAATTGGAGCGTGAGCAGTGCATGTGGCCTCCAGGGGACAGCCCATTCTGTGGTCAAAGCCGTGGCGCTGGCAAGACTGTCATGCAATAGGCTCTAGTCGATGACATTGCCTGATAATACACTGTGATCAGGTGCCAGGATGCCAAAGTGGAATTTTGCTGGCAGGACTGTGCTGGCAATGGCATCAGGTGGATTCTGCCAGTCACCAATGATGACATACGGGTGCTTGGTGGCTTCAAGCAGGGCCAGCAGACGCCCTATGATGGCTGCATTTGTGTCTCCCTGCACGGTCTCATTGGTGCGTAGGTAGATGCCAACAACCAAGATCGTGGTCTCAGTGGCTTGCCAGAGGAAGGCATGGTAGCCGCATCCTTGAATGGTGTAAGCCTCAAGGTCTGTCAAGCAGCTGGAGGGATCAGCAAGCACAAGCAGGCCTCCATGTGTGCCTGCATTGTCACTGTTTGGCCACGCCGGTGTGCCAAAAGCTGTTCTGCCTCGGATGGTGAAGTATTGGCAAATTTCACAGTGCCGCTGTGGATCTAGATGTGTTTCTGCAAACATGTGCACTTCACCTTTCCGGGTCCAGTACCAATCAATGACCTGTCTGCCAAAGTTGGTGACATTGCCGTAGTGGAGTCGATTGTGATCCTGGGACTTCCGAGCTCTCTTTTGTGGGCTTGGATGTAGCGGTGGATCGTAGTCTGGCTCCTCAGGTGGTGGGAGACTCTGCCATATTTGTTGAGGTGTTCTGAAAGTGTCCACACTGACCGCCCAAACCTGCGTGATTTGGCTTGCCAGCTTGGGCGTCAAGAAGGGCAAGTAGGTTGGTACCTTGCCATCATCTGCCAGCCACATCAAACCTCTGTAGATGAGAATGGCAAAGTAGTGACCTGTGGTGTGGGTCTTGCCTCTGTGGCATATGAGGACTGCCGGGACAATTCAGTCGAGGTTCTTGCAAAGCCATCAAGGGATCTTGGGACTTTTAAATTTCCATAAGGATTGAATGGCTCGTTGTGCTTCGTTGCAATTCCACCCACACAAGTGTTCCTGGTCACGTGGCAGATAAGGACTCGCTTGTCGTCCATGAGGTACTGTCCCATACCTTGGTTGGCCCAGTTGTTGATGAGATCTTGGAATTTGACATCATCTGGCCAGTCATCAGGGTAGGGAACCAAAATTGGCATCTGGACGTGATCAACCAGGTATCCATTCTCTTTGATCTCTGCGAAACTGTAGTTACAGGAAAGCTCGTGTTTGTGAGTGTAGCCACAAGGAGTTCACAAAGTGACTGGCATCTCCCTGGAGGTTGAGATCATGCTGTTTCCAAAGTGCATGAAGTCCTGGAAGCTGCTGCAGATCAGCATGCTCGGCCGTGTCCAGAGATCCTTGGACCGCTTCTTGTAAGGTGCCCCGTGGTTGTGTGCTGGTCTCTTGCAAGAGTGCACAGGTCCATGTGAAAGCTCTCCACGGGGCGTTTGCAAAGCAATGAGCACTTGGATTGCCAATCGTCATAGTGAGATTCTGCAAAATGCAGTCTGTGGTCGATGCATAGTCGTGTGCCATTGGGATGTGCTCCTGTGTGGCCGTGTCTGAGAGACTGCTCGATGGGGCCCCTCCTTTGATTGAGACGTATGGCTGGCCATTCACAGGCAAATCATGTCCACTTGGCGGAGAGCTCAAAACTAACGTGGAATCAATGGGCTGAATCTTGTGTTCAGGTAGTTCTGCTTCATCTTGACATGAAAAGTCCCCTTCATGCAACATGAAGTCGGTTCCCCAAATTGAATGTGGGTGCAAAATCCTCCTGGTGTGTCTGTTCCCCTGCACACCATGGTTTGTCAGAGTGACTTGAAAGCTCTGAGCCTGAAGCAGCACGGCAAACCCATTTGTGCTGGTTCATGAAGCCCCATGGTTGGTGTGCCTCATCAAAATCGTCAAAGGGAATAGGCACGTACTCCCCTTGAAGCTTCCCCGATTGGTTTGGCTTGTTGTTACCCACGCAACTGTCCTGCGTGTGGTGCCGCAGTCGCTTTTGTTTTCCTGCGTTTTGTTGGATCTTCCCCTTCCGTGTTGGTGCGTTCGAGAAGTCCACGGAGCTGGCTCCACTGCTCTTCAGTCAGAGAGATGCCTAAGCTCGTAACAAAGGATTCAACTGCCATAGGGATGGGTTCTGCTGTGGCAGCCTCATGGTTGAGCTCCTCAGGTTTTGGCGTCTGATTCGCTGCAGCCATGTACTTGTCCGAGAGTTCTTTGAGCTTTTGCTGACCCTCGTTGAGCTTTCTGGATATCCTGCATATCCTGGAGCATTGCTGCATATTGGCTCTTAACTTGATCTAATTTGGCTTGCAGCTGGCTCTTGCGGATCGACTGGTTCTTCTTGCTGCTTCAACTGCTGTGCAATCTCTTTCTCAGTCTGAGGTATTGGTGCCGTCAGTGCCTGAACCTCCTGACAAATTGCTGACATGTGGCTCTTCAAGAGATCTGTCAACCCCGGTTCTTCTTGTGGCTGTGGGCCGAGACGCAGGGCCTGGAGCTCAGTCTGGATGGAGTCAGGGATTACATCCCATGTTGCCGTGAGCATCTCAGCAGCCTGTTGTTGATCTTTTGGTCGTCGAAGCGGTCTGGGCTTGTTCAAACCCGGCGGTGTGTCCATTAGCGCTTCCTGGTAGGTTTTCCGGGGCCATGTGGAGGTCGTAGAAGCTCCGTTGCCTTTGCTTGCATGGCCTTGTCCTTTTCCTTTGCCATTTGATTTGGTGATAGTCCACCAAGTCCCACATTTGCGGCAGCGGTTGCCACTCTGGATTTTGTCCTGCCAAATCCAGTTGCTGCAGTTGCTTTTGCTGCAGACTTGGTAAGCTCTGCACCAAGAGGATGTCATTGTTCCTGATGTCCTGGGTCTCAACGGCTTCGTCAAAGTTCAGGCTGTAGGTTGAGGATCAGTTCACCGATCTCGTACTGGCCAGAGAACTGTGTATTGAGAAAGTGGCAGTGCCGTAGCAGAACCACAGGATGGAGCCAGGCGAGAACCTGCCAGACATAAAAGAGCAACTCAGAAGCGAGGAAGGAGATCACCTTTATTGCGAGCAAAGAGTGTGTGGTACGGCAAGGTCTCCCTGGGCCGTGCTTGTGGTGATTCTTCCTGCACCTGTTGCGCTTGGGATTTCCGCACTTGCTGGACTTTATTGGCAGCCAGCTTGATGTGGAAATGGCTTGAGCCTTGGGCCATGTATGTATGTATGTGTTTGTTTGTTTGCCTGCCTGGCTGGCTGTCTGTCTGTCTGTATGTATGTATGTATGTGCTACTCCCTCCTCGAGGCAACAAAGTGTTTACCTTTGTAGCGTGGTTTTGTCGCACTTCTAGAAGTCAGTTCACCCAGTTCACCCTTCGTAAGACTTAATGGAATTTCTCATAGGAGCTTGCCGTTGTTTATAGAAGAACCTTTTGTTGAAGTGTAGTCTTTTATTTTTCTCTCACGTGTGTTTCATTGATATGCACTTTTTCCGTTGACAAGACTACGACTTCCAACAGTGTTGCACAGAAATGTGTTTCCTCTAAGTGTTGCATTTGTGAATGTGTTTCTTTTTTGTGAGGTCCTCACACCCTGTAGCAACGTATCATCTCCATTGTACTGTAAAGGTTCCCTTGGTTGCGTTGGTTTTTAACCGGCTTTCCTTATGCAAACCCTTCTCTTTTGCACAAAGTTTCGATGAACTTCTTGGAACATTGCTCAACCCCTGGGTTTCTATTGCAATTGTGGCTCGTTTTGCTCAAATTTGAGAAGCTATTGAATTGGTTGTGTCATTGTTGTTTTTCTTTCTTGAACTTCGGACATATCAAACAGGTGTTGTATTGACCCTGTTTTCTTTCTTGGGGTTCCATACTTACCTCAAACATTCTTCCAAACAAAACGGGTTTTTCACGAGATGTGGGCATTCCTCTTCCCTTTTGTATTAGTTCGGGCCTTGTTTGCACTACGTTGGGCCACTTATATTATATACATCTCAAGGTGGTCAGTGGGAAAACCAGCTAGGAACTTGCAGGCATTACAAACCAGACACCAGCTCATTGACTTAGAAAAAGGGAACTCGGAATAGCCCTGACATACGCCACCATTTTGCTATCAGGATCACTCATTGTCATCTCCGGCCTAGTTCGCATGCGCCACCGAGCGCATGCCCGTTCATCTCATGTTTTGCTTCGTGGCATGGATATTTGACATGTGTATACATATTTTTATTGGGGGAGAGTTGGATAATCACGGAAAATCCCGCGATATATCCAGGATTTTTCTCGTGCCAGCCCGTGATTTACGGCGGGTGTTGCTAGAAACCACAGATTCCAAACTACTATTCTTAAAGCCTTGATTAACCGGTGCCAACCCGTGAAGAGTTAACAGGTTTGAAGGTATTGTTTTGGATAGTGCCCGAGAGCAAGAATGTCTTGCCAACTTGATGGTGCTCAACCAGCTTTTGGGTGCAAGGACGCATGAACTACTTTGGGCATAGATGTGCAAACTCAGTGTTGGAAGTTGGCAGCTAACAAACATTGGACTCGCGCTGTTGCATGACTGTTTGCACACCAGACCATTCGTGGGTAGCCAACAGGCACCAAAGGATACGTTGGTTCCTGTGTTCCATTTGCATCTATGGACATGGTCCCTTCACCCAAGCCAAATTCAAGGGGAGCCGCTGAAAACTCAAATTTTCTAATCATGTTACAAAAGCACAGTGAATACCCACGAACAGTTGCAATCTTTAAGGAGATAGACATGTCTCGGACGGTGCTGCAGCATATCCTGCGTAATCCTATGTATATTAGCTGATTCCATGCGCATCAAAAACAAGATGGTGCATTTCCATGTGGAGACATGACCTCCCCATGCTTTTTGGGATCAGCACCACAGGAGCAGTCTGACTTGGCCCGGACGGAGGCTCGGCCTTTGAGCTTTGTGTCGGTCCAAGCTTCGAGCCACGACCCCGAACCCTCCAATGGACCCCAATGGATGGTTGGGGACGACTACCATCCGCCAGTATAGGGTGTTTCTTATTTTACCAGGTGAACTGGCGCGCCGACACTGCCAACAGACGAAGGGCTTCTTCCTTTCGAGTCGATGATGCCGAAAGTGGGAGCAGACCAGCTCCAAGGGGCTGGTGCTGCGAAGATGTAGATATATGATGATATATATGTAGATGCTTATCGGGGACCAGGTTTCCGCCTTGGTGTATCAACATGCAATAATATCCCGAAGATTCCTGAAGGTGTCCTTTCAAGCGAGTTGAGTGGGGCAGACTTTCCTACCAGGAGTCTGGCTTCAAGATTGACCAGCAGACGCAGGCATGACGGGGATCATGCATTTTTGGTGCTGATGAAGGTGGGCCAAAATCCAACAACGGCTATTGCAGCCTAGGCCTGGCCGTATAATATGAGAGGTGCATGTCATGACTCATGCACCGCGTTAGGTTATGCATCTTCGGTACATACACAACACTTTGGCCATGAAAGGCTCAACAAAAGACTACATAGCAGCAAGCCGGATAGTTTTGCTATGGGTGGTGTCGGTCAGTACTTTCAATAGCACTCCCCAGTTTTTGTAGCTGAGGGGGAGCAAAACGCAATCTACGGATGATTGCTCCTTGATGGGTGGGTGATGTCAATCGAAGCATCCAAACGACTGAAAAACTGTGAATATGATCGGTGAGTTTGTGTGTTTCTGTGATGATCGGCCTTACCAATCTGTTGTTTATGGCTTCTTTGCTTGTTAAAATGTGTTTGTTTTTTGTTGCTCAGGCCTCGATATCACAACCTCGCATGTTGCTCTCAAGATGCCAGGAGGAGTATCCGGATGACTTCGCTCGGACAGAGGCCAGTGGAGAAAATCGCGAGGGAGTGATAGAGAGTGAGGGTTTTAGCTGGGGAGGGGTATTCAACCGACCTTGGTGCATCTTAAAATGAGGAGACCCTAGCCCCTAGCCCTAGCAACAACGGCCAGCTCCTGCAACTGCTGGTATTTTGAAGGAATCCATGTCCGCCTTGAAGCACTACAACCCCCACAAGCTTTCATACATTCATGAAGCACAAGGGTCGCAGGTTTTCTTTGACATGGGGCGAGTGCGGCCAGATGCTTCCGCAGACCCTCCTGCCAGGAGTCTGGCTTCAAGAGTGGCCACCAGACGCAGGCAATGTTGGGGAGGGCCACGGATCGTTGGTGTTTAGTGATGATCACGGTGGGCCCAAATGCAACCACGCTAAACATCAGAGGTGTATGCGTATTCGCTTCTTGCATTCTCACGTACATATGGTCATCACACACACAAGTCGGCCATTTTGGTTTCCAGGATGTCAGAAGGTTGAACATATACAAAGGCAGCAATGCAGGTTAGCTTTGCTATAAGTAGTTTGGGCCACAAGCTCAAGAACTCAGTTTGTGTGGCACAGACATGGCGCCGGGCACATATGTTTTTGTTTTCTCGGAGGAAAGTACGTGAACACCTCAGCGAGTTGAGTATTCTTGAGGATATCCTAGCTACACCAACCATTATCAACTGCTGACAATAAAATATGTCTCTCCGTATATGTATATGTGTACAGTTTTTTGTTCGAGACTTTGCTCAGATCTCCCCGTGTCATGGGTTCTCTTTGCAGTAGAGTTTGTTGGAGGCCAATGTCACAGTTCAATTCACATTCCCTTTGCCCATGTCTTCAGCAGGAGTATCCAGATGACTTTGCTCGGACGGAGGCCAGTGGGCCATCGTCACTGAGTATTTTAGTTTGTTTTAGGTCTAGTCGTTTTTCATGAATGACTCAAGATGTACAATTTCAATGATTTTATGTAATGTTTCGTCCATATGCCTTTGGCCATTTGAGTCGTTTCATAAAAAGCTTGTAATGCTTCGGGTTCTTTCGGAAGCATTGTTATGGTTGGACTGAACCTTTGCGGAGTTTAAGGCCCTTTGGAAGGATTTAAAGAAACACAGCCACACGCCAGTTGCACCAAATGGAATGGTGCGCCAAAGGATGGTTTCAATTTCACATCCCGGAGACCTCCTTGATACGCACACACGTACACACACACACACAGGTCGGTGCTACATTTTAGCATGCAGGTCTCAGGTCTTGTAGAAACTTTCAATTTGGATCTAGTTACTTGGAATGAATGAATTCTTGCACAGACCCTCCCAGGAGTCTGGCTTTCAAAGTGCTCACCAGACGGCCGAGGAGAGTTGCATGTTTGTCAAGCAGATTTCCCTCACAGATCCACCTGATAAGGTTCTTGGGGATGATTTCAGAGTCCGCAGGGCCGATCGTCTTCTTCTTCACCCAGTGCTGATGGTGCCGATCCTTGACGGCTTGTAATGGACAAAATCCTGATCATGTTTAGGATCTATATACAAGAACCCTATTGTGCAAGCTCTGGCTTGATCTCGTCTCCCCCACCTCACGGCCCCCCAGCACGGCACTTGGCCTGGGTGGGTTGTAAGTCGTGGATCTAGCACGGTATTTTGACAGGTGACCCGGGTCAGATTGAAGTTCTTCTGAACCAATGTAGGCAAGTATCACCTAGGATACTTCGGTTTTGATGGTTTTGACGCATCCTTGAATCCAACTTTCCTAGACATTCTGAATCCTTAAGACTAATTTGGCGGACAAGGATTTGAAAGTGTACCATACTGTACCTGCCTCCGTCCAGTTCCAATTATATACTTGGTACTGCGGGAAGACGCTGCAGTCCACTCTCGATGTTTGGCATCACAGGAGGAGTATCAGGATGACTTCGCTCGGACTGAGGCTCTTGGGCCACGGGGTGGGTGTGGTGGTAAGCTATGGACAAGTTGTGGACATATGCCTGGCGCATCCTTGTCTTGTGCTGATCCCCAGGATTCTTTCTACGTAAGCAGACCAACCATTGTTTAAACAGGTCTTGGAAGGCTAGGCAGTATTTCTTGCTAGTGCTGACAGCTGACCTCTGTCACAAGCACACGCGTTGCGGGTTGTGCGTTGTGGGTATGAGCCCTTAGAGATCGTATCGAGTCACTAAATTCCCGTTTGCACCACTCCGAAAAGTCCATCTGCACCCCTCCGGGTCCGGCGCCAGGAGTCTGGCTTTCGGGACCAGACACAGGCAGCGATCCCGGGGCCCCTTCGATTTCGGGGACGCAGCAACCTGTTAGACCAGAGGCCGTGCAAGAGTGAGACAAGCTTCCCGAAGAGTCCCTTAAGCTTAACAGGGCTTAACATGACATCTTTGGGCTTGATATATTGTTACATATTGTTACTAGTAGCGTCCTTGTTACTACTAGTAAGGCACTTGTTACTAGAAGCGATGCACTTGTTCCTAGTAGCGATGCACTTGTTACTAGTAGCGTCCTTGCTCCTAACGTACTGTCATGCAAGTGGTTTCATCTTGCAGTTGGGCCCCCGATTTGGGGAGTTCTCCGATTCTCCAAGACGTGACCGGGATATTTGGCGAGCTCGTGATGCAACAGATGCAATATGAACCTGTGTTGGGGCATCATAAGAAGTCTGTTGGGGCATCTCATTATAGAAACAGGCTGATATAATATATATGTAGATGGCACAAGTCCCTTTGAACTCGGCGCCAGACTTCGATTTGTTCAGTGAATGGAGTCTTGGTCGAGGTTCCTATTCTTAGGCCAGCGCCTCACGGTTAAGAGTTCAAACTTTGAGCAACAAATGAAGTCAAAAAAGAATTTGCAGTCTCACAGTCCCCCGCACTCAAAGAAAGACAGGTGTAACTGTAACGTTAACTTCCACCGGCTTTCGTTGCCCGCTTCCCAGGTGAAACCAGAAATCATTTGGGCATCCCTGGTGCGGAGGGTTCGATTGGAGTGTTGCTACGCACCAGCGGATGACCGTCGGAACTCCATTCGTCCTGAACCCGGGTGGCTGAGGTCGCCAGACTTATATAGTGTTTCTTGGGGGGGCGTTGCGTGATCCCCTCAGTGGAACCGCTTTTGCCAGACTTTCCGCCCTTTTGTCGTGCAATCCCCGATGATTCGTGGGGAGCGGAGCTGTGCATGGGGTTCCTACATTCACAGCAGCTACTAGTCCATAGAACCAACAAATCAGTACCTCCCACCTCACCATGGCAGATCATATTGTATATACCAGGACCTTCAAAGTGACCTCTTTGGAGTCTCTAAGTGACCTTTTTAGGGACGAAGTGACCTCATTCTAGGATCTCAAAAGGTCACTTTGAAAGTCCTGGTGCATATATATATATATATATTTTTTTTTTTAAATACTGTGTATATACCCTGGCTGTCCAGGGACGTTGTTTTAATATACTTTCGCGAAAGTAGGTACTTAGTGAAGAACGACAGTTGGAACCATTTGGGCAGAGCTGGGCTCAATCAGGCTCAATGATGTTCAGCAGCTACTGAAGATATGTTTGTCAAACCTCACTTCAGTTGAGGGTTAACCCCAAACCAACAGTGATTGGCATGTAAACCTCATTAACTAATGGGTTTGCAAAAAATTGTGCATTCTTGTAGACTTTTCTTTTACTGGGTGCCTGGGTCCGTCGGCACGGTGCTGCTATGGCACCAATTTGGTGGCGTGGGCACTGGTTGGATTGGAGTGCCTGTGGCAGCACAAGAGTCTAAATAGTGTTGATGTCATGCAGAGATTGAATTGTATGGATGCCACTGTGGCATTGGATGCCACGGGCTCATATTGAATCTCTTGTTGTTGGATGTTGTTGGTGGTGGTTGCACCCAAGGTAATGAGTGATGAGGATAAAGAAAGCTTTGAAAAGAAGCGCCTAGTCAGCACTAAGACTTGTTGAGGGGTGGGGGAACCATGGTGAGCTCCAAGAATGCCTAGACTATGGTAGAAACTTCATGTCAGCCATCCACAGTTCTCCAATATAGAAATTTAGAACCCGCTTTACTCATGGTCTCTGGGGCCTAGGACGCATCTCCGACAGCAACAACGACGAGCCGCAGCCGATTCACTCAGTGGATCAAGGTGCCATCCGACCCGTGGGCTGTGTTTCGAAAGTCGGTGATAGCTTTGATATGGAGATACCATGTGTTGTATTTTATATGCTGCTGCAAGTGCGCATGAATCAGAGTGATTGCACTTGCAATCATGATCACTCGGCATGAGGATCAGGAGGGTCACCACTGCCACCCGCCCTTTTTTCTTTCAGCGATGGCGTTGGCCCATGGTGAGGAAAGGCTTGCACTCCTGAAGGATTTTTGGCTGCATCCCACCAGGTTTGGGTTGGACACATCATTTTGGTAGAGGGAACTGGGAACTGCAAGGGTATAATGTTGAGATGGGAAATAGGTGGACTCCTGTTGCATGTGCAGTCATGCTTAATATGACCAGTATTTAGGCCACCAACCGGCATGCCAAGGAATTCTTCAAAGACATCCTTGACCAGAAAGACTACATCCCTGAACGTCGGTTCACTTTGCGGAAACGGGCAGGGCTGCGTGACAGGGATCGAACTGTTCCCTGGTGGCCGTTTGATGTTGTTCGTTCAAGAGCTTTTCACTTTTGTGCATCCATCACTGATCCCATTCTTAAAGACGCATATCTGAGGCTGTACCTTTCGCCTTTGTGGATCGGATCGTCAAGGGGGACACCATCCGTGAAATTGAGGTCTTTTGCCCAAATAGTTTTAATTTGTAATTGATCTGTCCGATGCTGTGTTCACTTGAGCTTACTGTCAGCAAAGAACACCCGGTTCCGCCCAGCTCCTCTCCAAGGTAGAGAAATCGGCCAATAATCAGCAGTTCCTGTGCGAGTTCTTGGGGCAGTTCTGCGAGAGGCTTCCCAATGACAAAGAAATGGAGGACACACCAAAACTTGGACTGGGAGGGGATACCATGGCATACCCAGGCCGCAGGCCCATGACATGAATTCACCGTGCATTCCAAATTAGTTGATCTTCAAACACGACATGTTTTGAACTAGAACAGCTAATCCAGGAGGCATTGACCTGGGCATCTTTGACCTTTGGCCTGAACCCTCACTTGAGAGCCGAAGGTGACCACAAGGTGTCTTGCCAAACAGAGTTTGGTGAATCACTTGCGACGTCTTAGCATCTTAGCTTCTTGGATGACCTTTGAGGTCTGGGGGGGGGGGGTCATTTCAATCCGACCAGGCTTGGGCTAGCGTTGAATCTGGAGTCATCCGGGCATTTACTGCATATAGCATGACGCGCTTTCAAAGAACTTCGAACTCGCGGTCGCTTTCCTCAATTAGTGATGTTATTTTTCTGGATGAGCTGTGGGTCGTGTTTCTTCCTAATCCTGTATCTAAATTTGTGCACTGTAGAGCTGAGGGGTGGTCGTGAAGGTATGGCCAAAGTCAAGGCTGTCATCCATGCCAAGCTCCAGGCTAGGTCATTTCAATGGCTTCGTTCACATCTGGTTTTAATAAGTGGACCCTTTTTCCCAACTGTGGTTCCAGTTGTTTAATTTCTTCAACATGCAAGGCCTGTGGCATGCTGACCCAAAGCGGAAAGAAGAAGCAATCTAGGGTACCAAAGTCAAAAGAGGCCTGCACTTCATATGAATCAAAGATAGCTGCATGCACACATGCATGTTTGCATTGCAAAGGCATCCCAATCATTTCTTTTGGACATTGCCAGCTTTGTGCAGTACCACCATCACAACAAATATTGTTGCCGATGATCTTGTTGGATGAGTCATGAACAAACCAACTAACTTATTATTTCTCCTTGATAACTAGCAAGCAGCAGCCCAGTGACAGTGACACTACACAGTATCCAGGAGCTTGAAAAGGACACCGAGAGGACAAGAAGCAAACGCAGAAAAGTTACAGAAGGTGAAGTTGCTGCATCGAGGGTTCCCAACAACATCGACACACAGGATACACAACTCTATGCACCAGATGATGAAGCCTTTGAGGACCCGTGTGAAGAGGATGATGAAGCTGAAGGAACGGAAGAAGAAGAAGAAGGAGAGGAGGAGGAAGAGGAGGAGGAAGAAGAAAACGAAGCAGAAGGAGGAGATGAAGCAGAAGGGCAAGATGACGAAGCAAAAGGACAAGATGAAAAAAAGAAGGAGGAGAAAGAGAATAGTGAGGAGGCCAAAGCAAAGGCAGATACTGAGGTTGAAATGACACCGAAAGCACCTGACCAGGCAGAAGAGGTTGAAATCGAAGCCAAAGAGCCTGACCAAGCAGAA